AAGTACAATATATAAGCAGATAAGTACAATATATAAGCATAATATGTTGCAAATAACTTTTAGTTTGTCAAACAAGAATTAAAAAATCTCTCTTAATTATAAAATAAACATTCAGATATATTTTAGCGAAATTTCGCATAAATTTATGGATTTTTATCGCGAATTTGAGAGAAACTTAGATTTTTCGATAAATTCGAATAAAAATATTTACTGAATCGGATGTTGCGTATAAATGGCGCATGATACCGCATATATTTTAATTTTTACTTCAATATTATTGTTATGCAAAATTATACTATATAATGGCGCACATTTGTTTACACTACTATATGCTATATGTATGCTGCGCTACTACTCTCAAATAGCGCATTGTTGCTGAATTTAATATGCATTGTAAAGCAATATATCCCTGGCATGTTAACTCTTTCGCTATTACTGTATGCGTATCGATAAACATCAGTATCGTGATTGTCCGTACGTGTATACAGACGATAATGTATGGCGATATTTCAGTTTGATGAATCTAAATATTATAGTTCTTTTTAACATATTAAATTTTTTTTTATACTATAATAAGAGGTACAAAGAATTTTTTGAAAGGATTTAATTCCTTAATTGTTCCTTTACTTTTTGACTTTGTAGTATTTCAGAATGTAACAGCGAGAGAGCTAGAAAAATGTAATAATTTAAAGAAGTTAATACATACAGTTTTCACTTAGTTTACATTTAATTCATTGCTTTCAAAGATAATAGTAAATATTTCACGTTTATATTTGTTTTTAACTTTTAAATCAAGTAAATAACTTTTATTTTATTTTTTTTAATATTTAATAAATTATGGAATAAAAAATGTGTGCGGATGTGTAATGTAATTAATGGTGTTTCCCAATATTATTTTATAAACAACTTTGATAATAATTCACTCAAGACGCAACGTTAAAATCTGTTTAATAATTTTTTGTGTGCAACACATTGCGGCTTTTGCATTCGAGATCATTTTCGTATTTTGCCTGCTTTCGGAGAATTGCGGCAGTGATAAGCGGATGAACTCTCGCTGAATGAATTTATCTTTGATCTTACAGCGTGTTTTTTCAAAGATTATTATAAATTACGGATTACGCGAGCTGCGCGGATAAAGTGGCAAATATGATTCAACACGCGTCATCGCGCAGGAGATGTGAGAGGGAACGCCGTGATTGAAAGGGATCTGCACGTGGAAACCGCGAAAAGGATACCGTTGAGATGCGCTCCGTGTGATACACGACACAATGCGTGTTTCGAGATATCGAGCGATGCACAGATGAGCGAGCGGGCGAGTGAGCAAGCGAGCGAATGCGCAATGGCGACAGAGTGGCGTGAAGAGCGAGAATCGCATTACGAATGTTTTGCTAACGGCGGAAGGTTGAAAAGGGACGGCGAAGGGCGATTTTTCGCTCGTAATCCACGGACGATGCATAATGTCTGTCAGGGGCAAAGGAAACATTCCATTAAGGAAATGAGCCGAGCGCCATGTTAAATTACGTTTGTTTCGTGCCGCGGTACAACGCCTTCATCCTTGAATCCACTTCTTTCCTCTTCTCTCCGTCGCTTCTTGCCTCATCCTCCACGTGTGCGCCATTGCGGCGACCGCAGTTTGGCATGAAACCATATTTTTAATTAATGTTTCTTTTAAATGAACCGGCACGATCAAAGAATTGTTTTGTATCTCGAGAGAGATATAAAGAATGGCGATTTGCTATTTGATCTCGATGCAAAAAATTAATTGGATTAATTTTATTAACAATGAATGATGTCATACTTACGCATACACGTAGACATCAGCAACAAGATATAATTAAATGTTTATTCGAAAAATCTTAACCGAAATTTATTTATTTTGATATATAAAATTAAATGCAGAGACTCGACGGTGTAATCACTGCATTACATCACGTTTCGTATAAATTAAAGTTTCGTAATTACGAAATGTAAGATTACGGGATAAAGTACGACAAGAATGGAATCGACGACGGTGAGAATAAAGCGCTATTGTGAATCATTATAGACACTGCAAACACGATAGAAGATGTAAGACACGCTCGTTTCACTTAATGCAACTGTTGTTATCATCATGCCCTAATTGCTCGTTATATCATAATAAACGCCCAATGCGCGTTTGCATGTGTACACGCGGAAGCGGGTCGCGAACTAATGCGACCTATTCAGCGTAATTACGCTACCTGTTACATGTCACTCGTAGTTGACATCAAGATCACGTTGTGCTACGAACTTCGGTTCGGCTAATCGTGAAAGTGAAGTCCGGTTTGTTATCAGATGCGTCAATAATACTGCAAGAACTTACATTTAGAAATGCAACGGAAAATTGATAAGTTTTTTATTTATTTGAAAACTATTAATTAAAATAATATATTTATTACAAAAAGTACTAATCATTACGCAACGAGATTTATCTGCAAATTTTAATAAAATTATTTTACATAAATTATATTAAAAAATTTGACGGATTTTATAATTGAATGTTAGCTTTGGTATTTAAATATGTAAAATTATATTTATTATTTTTCTGAGCAAAAATAATTTCTTTAAAAAGTATTGTTTTTAATTTATTATTTGCTCGAGCGCCGTTTTAAAATTGGACGCAAGATATCATTTTCAATAAAAATGCTTTGAAAATTTTTGTTTTTGTGACTACAAGTAATGATATAGACAAATTAAAAAATTAAGACTTTAATCTTTTAGTTAATTTTATTGCGTTTGTTTATGATATAAAAAATTTGCGATCAAACATTTTTTTTTTGTAATTTATGCTCGGCGCTACACACATTACTGTTCATTAAATATTCCATGAATATTGGCTGCATTTACAAGATGCATTTCATCACATGTTTGTCACGTTGACATACCGATACTGTACGCATTATTTATCTTGACTAAATATTTAGCGAATAAACGCATCACCTAGAGCCGGCTTGAAACTTTGTTCAATATTTTCATGTCGTTTGTGCAACAATGTCGAATTATTTGACGCAAATATCACACGTGAAAAATTAAAAAAATTTCGATAAAATCTACGAGAAAGTTTCGAATCACGACGAATCACGACGATATCGCAAAATTATATCAGGGATTGTGATATCATGTTATGAAAAATAGAATTAATCGGTATTCAAAACTAAAAAGTACAGTAATTCGCGCAAAAAAAAAGTAAGTGAAACAAACAAAATCTCAATTTTCGTCTCCAAATATTTTATCAGCACTGATTGCAGCTCGAGGCGAAGACGAGAACGTGTGCAACGGCAAGACGTTCCGCTGTGCGAAATGCCTCCTTCCGCTTTCGAACCATTCATATTCATGAAAGTCATTAAGCGCGATTTCCGAAGGCAGCTTGACGGGTACGAGATCACGCGGACGGACTTTCCTCGGCGAGATTAGATCAACGGAACAAATATTTGAGGGCTCTCGTTGCGGCGTCTGTCTTTGCGTGCTTTTCTCCGACTTCGATATCCACTCCGCTCGAGAACTCGTTCGTCAGCGGAGCCGAACTTCGTCGTCTAAGTTTTCGAGCTTTTACATCGATTCCAGGGGAGTGGCTCGTGTCGGTGCCGGGCGAGAATAAATCTTGGCCGCGTTTGTAAATGCTTTATGACTCGAGAGTGACTTTGTCTGTATCTGCGTCCAATTTGTGAATAAATTATCGATGATGATAAAACTGAAAAAATATATAGGATAGGTAATTACATATAACAGCTTTATTATTTTTCGAGTTTAATATTGATTTGAAACGATATTTAGTGAAATACATTGTAATATTATTACATCACCTCTTGTCTTTTTGTATTTTTATCTTAAAAAACAATAGTCAGATGAACCTAAAATGCATAAAGCTTTTGTATATAATCTTTATCAATGTCAATCTTTTAAGGAGCTTTTGTTTTTATTTAACATTTTCTATATTAATGCAGTATTTAATGTAATTTTGATATTATGTTTTATATATATTTTATTTATAAGTTAATATCGTATTTCCTGCAGTAAGGTAACTGCGAGTGAACCCAGATCGTCGAGCGAAGCAAACTGGTTTAAATATTTTATAATTCATTAAAAAACAAGACAAGCGCGGACGAATCGAGTGGATTTTTAAAATATTATAAAATGTTTAAAAACGATCCGCTTCGTCCGCCCCGATCCAATTCATCTTTACATAAAATATTTCACGGAAATAAAGTATTACTATATAATGATAATATTCTGAGGTTGAAAAAGCACAAGTTCATTAAATTTATCACATATAATTAATCTGAATTATTGCCTTTTTATATTTTATAAATGTAAAAACGAGATAACATGTGACAAATGAGATTAATGTGATAATATCTGCCACAACCGTTTTAACAACGCTGAATACCGGATTTCGGAGTTTAGTGGTTTAGTAGCAAACAATAGACAGTTCGAAATCCGCGGTGAGCAGAATGTTGTCAGCCTGGGTAGTCTAATTAACGCAATCTACAGACGATCCTAGTATACCTTGCTCAGCGCTGTCATAATACGTAAACTCGTACTAGAGTTGTCGCCCTCGAGACTCGATCGCGTTCGATACACATATTGACGCTGTCAAATCGCTATCAAATTAAGCCGATTCTGCGTTCAGAGACCGAAGATATATTTTTTAAACATCAAAGAACATAATTGAAATGGTAATATAAGTCTATTAAGGCTACTCTCTCTTTGACTGTATTTTCGGAATTAAAATTAAACCGAATAAAGTCTCAATAGCGAATCACTAAAAATCACATAAACGTCATGTGTAACGGAACGCACTAATTGAACCTCCGAATGGGAGATCGCTTAAAGTGTAATGTGACCAACCAGCCCTTTGCGAATGAAGCGACAACGGTTCATACAATTACACTCGATGATGTGCTTGCGCGCGGTCACGCTGACCCATGTCCTGCCAGTTAATTCCTTGAGCTAATTTGATCCATGTTGACTTGCTGTTTCAGTTGGACAGGTTCAAAGAGCCGCCGGCATTTGGCCCGATGTGCGATCTCCTTTGGTCGGATCCTCTCGAGGACTTCGGTAATGAGAAGAACGCGGAGCACTTCTCTCACAATAGCGTCAGGGGTTGTTCATACTTTTACAGGTGAGTGTGACGTACTTTGACATTTTATAATACGAACCTTATGTGTTTTAATTTAGAATCAGTTTAGTCGAGCACTATTCGATTTTTTATGTTTATTCTCGTGTAGATTTCTTTTGTCGATTACACAATATGTTGAAATATTTATAACGTTTTATTCATACGCGATTAAAAAACAATACTTGGCGCAAAGAGAAGAAAGTAATAAAATATTTCTCAAATAATTTCAAATAAGTATAATTTATATAATAAAATTTTTTATGATGAAAGAAGAACATGCTGGTCTTCTAGATTAATATTACAGATTAAGGATTAAAATTCAATTAATTTTGCAAGAGTCTAAGGATTGAGTGTCTTTTATTAAGCTTAATTTTGCGAGTTGATTTTCTTTCTTGCGAAAATATTGAGAGAAACCATTATTTATAGCAATTTTCTAATTTTTATTATTATATATTTTTGTAACAAAGTCTTCAATTAAAATTCTATCAAAGTAAAATTTATTTGAAATTATCTGAAGAATGTATTATTTTCTTCCCTTTAATTTACTTTTTATTTTTGCGTATAATTGAAAAATTATGAATATTTTAACATTTTTATGAAGGAAAAATTGATTCAATATCGACTAAAAATTCCGTACCTTAAAAGAAGGAAATTTAACTTTATACATTTTTTCATGTATCAGTTATATAATTTGAAGCAAAAAATTTCAACACAAAACTGTATAAATTAGATTTACAATATTTTGAGGCGCGTATTGAAAGTGTTAGAAAACGATTTTAGTCGGAATTGTATAAAAATGCAGTTACAGTTATTTCTTATTGGTTTTATCGATATATTAATGAAACACGCCGATATTTATAGCGCCGGTCATCGGTTATTACAGCACGTTAATGTAATAATAAAGGTTGTATTAGTAGAGAAGAAAAAGAGAAATACGCGAGAACGCACACCGTCACACTGCTACCCGGCGGTGTCAGATTTCTTTTTGCTCTTTGTCGTGGAAATGCGATATGCTTGTGCGATATATTTCGCGGTTGTCGTCGTCGGTCGTCGCTTTTCGTTTTTCCCTTCCAGCCACCGGTAGCTCCTTCCAACGCGGGTAATTATCTCGCCGTTTGTCTCGGGCGAGCAGGGCAATCGGAAGTCGTGCTGGGCGCGGCCCTCTCTCGCGCGTGATCACACAGCGTGAAACGAGGTAACTTTGGACCCTCTGTTTCTCGGCGACTTCGGAGAGTTGCTTTCCTCCACCGGATCTTTCTACATATGTCACGTTCGGTCCCTTGTCGCGTCGCGGCCTTCTTCGTCGGTGTTCGTGGAATACGTCCGCGGTTTGTCCTGCGCGAGGATTAATAACGGACCGCGTTTGCACGACAGCGTCAGCAAACCGCAGACACGACAGCTCCTCTCGCTTGATCCCGCTAATTATACGAACGGCCGTGCTAATGAGCACTGAGATTCGTTAAGTGTCAGCCGTCTCGCGTGCTCGTTCGTAACGCTTCCCGCTCGACTTGCGCTTGTGCGCGCGTGTCTACGAGAGACGGGATGTAATAAATGGAATTCCGCAGAGAGAGACATTTTAATCTTCCGCGGTCCAAGACAATTTCCAACAATGGATCGATGTGAAACGTTTGTATTAAATATTTTTATTCTGGTACCGTTGTGCGCGATGTGGTAGAATATACACCGCGCTTCGGTATTTCTCGAGCAGCTGCCACGGGAATTAAAGCTATAGCTGTAACGATCAAGTTGTTCATTGATACATACGTAACGTGGAAGTGCGATCGCGATCGCGATAAGATAATAACGCCGTTATGAAGATATTCAACGCTGGTCTATTAACTCCTCATTTTCGATTCCCGCATTATCGTGTTTCGGTCGGAGGATAGCGAGTGTGCATTAAGTTTCACGCGAACATAAATCACACCGCGTGTCTCGGGCGGTATGCAAGTAGTCGGGCAGTAATCGCCGGCCGGGGTCCGTCCGACTACACTCCGGCTCGTACTACTTACCGCCGCACGTCCGTCTCGCGAAGAAGCTCCTGATTACTTTCTAATGATACGAAGTGGCTATACATTTTTGATGAAGAAAACCGAACGTCTCCCGTGGCGCCGTAACAACGCCCGCGCGGAATAAATCATCTTATCGTTATACCGACGCGTGCGTATCGATGTTGAGATTCATCGGTCCGGGGATCGATACGCGGTCACGCCTGCGAGCGGCTCGGTGCGGTTTTCGAGAGATTTCATCTCGTCATTAATCTCTGTCGGCGCTATGAACGGATCTTAATGGCTGCTAACGACCTTGCCACGACGTGGCGCAAACATTTCTCACGATCTTTGGCCGGGTCAGTTATGGTAGTGCGAAAAGGGCCCCGTTGATATCTTCTGCGGGCTTAATTTGTTTACGTAAACCCGCACATTCGTGACGTCTGTCGTTCAGTGTCCACTTGACAGCGAGGAATCATTAGTAAAAGCTACGCGTCGTACGAAAGACTCGGATACTCTTGCATTAATGGAAAACTTTGCAATTTAAAGACGAAGTCCGAGCATTCTTGGGAAATAAATTAACAGCGGAACTTAAATGTTTAACGTTCTAACAATTGTGCAAATTCTTAGAATTACATTAAGCAAGATTCTGGTCGTTGTACATTCTCGACAAGTTAAGATTGATTATTTGGCGCCCGAGCAATTATTCAACGCGAGTGCCAAAAGAGCACGCATCGTGTTATAGTGCGGACTTTTAAATCTTAAGATTTTTCTCTCTGCAGTCAGAAGCTACTTTGCATGTGCTTTATTTATTTCACATAAATTTATGAAAATAACTATTGTTTTCTACATTAAAATCTTCTAAGTTGAATCTCTTGTGTCGTGTAAATTTCCTTATTAATTTTAGTTAACACTTGTTAAGCAAACATAGCGATATAGGCAATCGTCTACGTGTGCTCGGAAAACTTTCCAGGAGTAATTATTCTATAGTAATTATCGTTAATCAAGCCATCCAATTTCAAGCGACCGATCGATAATGTGTGCTTACAGTTATGCGGCGTGCTGCGATTTTCTTCAGAACAACAATTTGCTCAGCATCATAAGAGCGCACGAGGCTCAAGACGCCGGATATCGTATGTACCGAAAATCTCAGACGACGGGCTTCCCATCGCTTATCACAATTTTCAGCGCGCCCAATTATCTCGACGTGTACAACAACAAGGTAAAGTTTTTTATATTCTCGTGTATTATAATGTTATCGCCGCTATGGTTACTTTGATTATTAACTTAACTGTCGCATTTATGTTCAACTCGGAACATTTTACGTTACGCGGTTTATCGGTGTGCGATCGTAAAGTTTCGATGCTTGTTATGCCCGTAGGCGGCGGTTTTAAAGTACGAGAACAACGTGATGAACATCAGGCAGTTCAATTGCTCGCCACACCCGTATTGGTTGCCCAACTTCATGGATGTTTTCACATGGTCTCTGCCGTTTGTCGGCGAGAAAGGTAAGCTGTGTTCAACTATCTACTTCTTTTCAAAATCATTATATTTTCACGTGATATGTTTTCAATTTATTGCGAAAAGTATCTAAAAAGTAGCATAAGAAACATTTGGATATGATAAACTTTTTATTGTTCAAAATTATACAGATTTTTACAACGTTTTTTCAGCAGCTCTTGTGTTAATAAATTGCAAAAATATCTAATAGAGATAATAAGATAAAAATTTAATTTTTTCGTCATAATTTTGAGATTTTGTTATCGCTTGAATGATACTGAAATTAATAATATCAAGAGAGATGAGCTGCTGGTTTTATAACAAAAGCTGAAAAAAAGTTGAAAAGATGTTTTGTTCAACATTTAATGAATGGTTGTTTTTTGCTTTCAGTCACGGAAATGTTGGTGAACGTGCTGAACATTTGCTCGGACGACGAGCTGATGAGCGACGGTGATGACGCGCTCGAGGAAGGTAATGTCCACCATTCAGTTCACATTCCCCACCTTAATCCATATACACTATTATTTTGCAGACGTTTCGAACAAAATCGGCACTCAGACTGGTCGCTCTTATATCGTGATCAGAGCCTGTCTCTTTTACTCCTTTATTTCGGAATTATTCTTAATCCGATGTCTGTTTCTGGATTTTACTTGCCTAATACAAAAATCGTGCAGAGACACGAGGTGAAAATCACACGCAGCGTAGTGTTAAACTCGTGACGAAAATACTTTTCTCAATCTCATCTCAGTCGTTTCAATCGAATTAGAGAAGCATTCAATTAATTAAAATCTTTGCAATTATGTAATTATAAGAAAATGATCGTAGAAAAGGAGTGTGATTCTTGCGGTAGCTTTCGACCTGCAGTTTTCCATTAAATCTCATCTTCGATAATTCGCTCCCGTTCGTCGTGCTCTAATAACGAGCGAGAGATGAGACACGTTTCAATTTTATCCATCACTTCGAGAACGATCGGACGGAACGTGCGCGATAAGTCCGGCCGAGATTTCGCTCATATCTAAAATCTTTTACAAGCTCCGACACGAGCTAAGAGAGGCCACGTCACTTTCGTGCACCGGGGAGAATGCGCGTATTCATCCCTCATGTCCTGCCGCGTGCCGAGCCGATAGAAAAGAGCCGGAGACGATCTAACGATGAAAAATGAATCGCGGAATCCCGCTCCCGTTCTGCGAATCGTCGCATTCTCCTCTGAAAAGGAAGATCGATCGTGCACGTGCGTCCGGATTGGATAGCGGCGAGCGCGAATTTCACGTAAAACCACGCGCGGGCTGTCATTTTCTCGCGGCGATAAAAATTGAATGACGCATCCGGATTGCGAATACGCTTTCAATTTTTCATCGTTTTTTTAATTCGGCGCAGTTTATTTTTATTTCAATCTAATCGGGCGCAATATTTAATGCGGTATTATTTTTATTTAATGCAATTCTTTTTTTTTTTTCGGAACAATCGGCGAATTTCTCGTATACGTTCGCCGCGCGGAAAGATTTCGCGCGCACGATCGATTTTGTCGTTCAAGCCGCAATTCCGTCGACTTCGGTACAGCAGCACCTGTGAATTCTACGTATTCCATGTATTTTTCATACACTCCCTTCGATTCACACGATTCTGCTAATGCTCGCGCACCTCTGAAAATTCACCTTTCCGAGCGAAGGCTGAAGGAAAGTTTAAAGATAATATCCCAGCGCGCGGACTCTCCCGCATATATACGTCGCGCCGAAGAACAGTAGTCGATTTTTTGCAAAGTTATCTATCACCCTCCCACGATCTCACTCTTGGAACTTCCAGAGACAAATCTTGAATTCTCTTTCTGTTTGCATTTTCACTCGCTGCACGGACAGATGGTAAGAAACGCCGCTCGATTCTTTTAGACGTCACACGATTAAGAGCTTCATTGATTATCATTTTTAGCTATTTTATAGTAGTTTCTCGATGTCGAATTTCTCTTCTTCTATCTCTTTCTCTATCTATCTATCTATCTATCTAACTCTCTCTTTTTCTCTCTTTCTCTTTCTCCACCTTTGTTTAATCCTCTCTTTGTTACGTCTTCTTTTCTTTTCGCCCGCGATGACGCGTTTCATCCTTCTCGGGAGAAGAAGAACGTACGTATGTTCGCGTCTAGTCATTTCTTCTCTTCTTTATCTTTCGTTCCTTATGATCTCCACGCGCGTGTGTGTGTACATATATATTTACTAAGTTTCTATATGTTTCTTTCTCGTTATCTCCGAGAGTTTCCATCTGTTTCATGGTACTTAGAATTTTTCGCATTAAGGTATGAGGTTTTCTTGTTTTTCCCCCTCTCACATTCTCTCTTTCTCTTTCTCCGTATCTCTTTGAGATTTTTTATTTTCAATCCCCGATTACGTATGTACATGTATGTGTGTAATACATATTCGACGTGTCTCGACGGCACATAGCCTGGATTTTTACATCTTCACCGGTAGACTTTGATTTTTCTGCATCATTCATAGCATCTTCACCTTATCTCTATACGTTTGTTCAAGATGGCATTCGAGACGGCGCAAATCCCTTGGTTGTTTCCCAAAGCACGTTTAACTATCACACCGTGAAGGTCTTGAGCTTTACGAGTTTAAAATACTTTTTCGACTCGGAAACTAATCCGGGGAGGATGCCATTTTGCCATCTTGCGCATTACGCATTTTTAATTCACGCATGCATCGCAGCGCATCGGACAAGACGACACTCGGCCTTGTCTCAATTATTATTATTATTTTTTTTTTTTTGATGTCATTCAAGAGTATCCGTATATCGATTTTCATTTATTCACCGTTCGACTCTACCACTGTCCGAGTTCCATAGTCGATCTCATCTCTCACGTGTCATGCCTATTCCGCTCCCTGCTGGTCTCTTTTGTTATTTTCTTCTTCTTTCGTACATTTCACATGTGTATGTATAGTTCTCTCCCTCTCGTCGTCATATATAATTGATTCTGCGGAAAGTTTTGAAGAAAAGATTAAAATTACCTTTCCGGCGGAACCTCTCCGGCGGATGGAGCTTTGCGATCAGTGACGATCGCGAAAGTTTTCTTCTCGTCACGCGGCCTATAAATCGAGCATTCTCACGTCGAAGCGTATGATCTTTACGACTCGTCAAATTGTTCAATGTAGCAAATCGCGTCGACTAACTGCCGCCAGCTAATTATGCATTCGCGCCCGAAAGGGACGCGCGCGGGGACTGATTCGTTCGCGTAATTCGCGTCACGTCGGAAGGTCAGATCGATACCGTCGCGTTAGCCGAGCGGACGACCACGGGTCTAAGAGTATCCATCCACCGGGCCGGGTCCAAGCCTCGAAAGAAAGTCAAGCAGCCCCGCCCCCTTCCCCCTCGCATCTCCGCTAACCCCCGAAGCCGTTTCGTAGAGAACGCGCTCGCGAGAACGTCTGTTGCGGCTAGGTCGCCTTGATCGAAAAGAAGGAAAAAAGAAAAAAAAAAAAGAAAAGAGTTCAAGCAGAGAGTCCCGGTGTTTCGATCAATAAGACACCTCCCGCCCTTCGACTCTTCCTTCACCCCACCCTTTCCCCCCTGGTTTCGCCTCCTTTAATTATTGTTGAGAGATGTACGTGCCACCCACCCCCTCGCCCTCCGCCCCCCCCCCTGATCAACCCCCCCTGAACCGCCCGCCCGCCCCCGCGAAGTTGCACTCTCTGACTGTCTTTTATCGTACTCCTTCTTTATTATATTTGTATCAATCACACTGGCCTTGGACTCCTCCTATCTCGGCACGACACTATGCTACTACTACTTCTACTACTTCTACTACTACTTCTACTACTACCACTCAAAACTCCGATCGTGTTCGGCATACCGCAACCCCCGTAAAGTCGCAGCCAAAGTCGTTGTCCAAAAAAAGAATGGTAAGTCCCCGTGAGAGCCCGACGACTTACTCTTGAAGAGCCAAGATTTTTTTCTTCTTTTTCGAGCGTGCCAAGAGTATAACCCAAACCGGGAGTTTTCTTTTTAATTTTTTTCCGCATTATACGATATATTTGTGATATATCTATAATATATCTTAACTGTTTTCTTTTTTTCTTTTGCCAGTGTTTTCTCTCTTTCTCTTTCTCTCTTTCTCTCTATCTCTCTTTGCGTTACGGTTCCTTTCTGTTTTTTTTGTCTCTTGTTTTTCGCGGGTGCGCTTTGTGACGCGTTCTGCTGATCGATTTCTGCTACTCTCGTCGAGCACGAGCGCGGTTCTCGCGATCACGCGATTGAGTAACGTGGATAGAACATAAAAATATTGCAGTTTACCGTAAAAAATTTAATTATCGGCGCAACGAGATATGATATCAACTTGCATTGCTTTTATTTGGAATTAGTATTGAGATACAATTAGCTTCTCATTATGCGATCTTCTTTATTGATCTGTACTTATTGTAATAAATGAGTTCATAAAATCCAGCTACATTTATTTTGATTAATTATTCAAGATTTACAGCATTACGCATATCGGGGGAATGCTTTTAATTCGGCTAAATGAGAAACTACGATACGCAGCTCGTATGTACAAATAGCCAGCGAACGCTCTAATGCCAGTAGAATGACGTCGACACGAACGTACCATGCGGCATATTATTTTCTCGTTTGTTGAGTTGCCTTCTCTCTTTGTTCCTGTATATATATACATACATATAAATATATATATATATACATATTTCTATCTATATACTTACATATTTCTATCTTCGTCATCATCTTCTACTTTCCTTTAAACGTGCTGTATAACCGGACTTTGGATTGAGCTAACATCATAATTAATCGTCAGAGAAAACACACCGTTGAGCGCCGTGTTCACTTGCCTACCGTTTTCCCTTCCGTTTTATACTGACTTCTGTTGTTGTTACACATCGCCGCCTCTGTACCACACATACCCCTGTTGTCTACGTACACGCTGAATTAATCACCACGGTGATCTCACTCCCTCCCTTCTCTCCATTTGTTTTTTCTTTTTCTTTTTTTTTTATCTACGTTTTGTCTCCTTTGTCGCCTGCTTCTTGCGCTTCACGTCGACGATCGAACACACCAACCATGTTTTTTCAACGGTACGTACACTGAGTATACATAAAGTTTGTCCCTAACTCGAAATTTTTCTCTCCGAATGTACGTGAATTTGTCGCGTCTCCAGCGTGAGAATGATCGGAAGCGATTTATGAATGAAGATACTTTTTGCAAAGTAAAGAGATCGCGAGAGACAAGTTTTTCTTTCTTTGAAACTTTTGTGGACGCTTTCTCGCCGACACTTACCGGCACTCTCGAATCCAAAATAACGTCGCGCGAATACGCGCAGCGGAAAATACGACCGTGCCTTCATGCGACTCTGGAGAGAGAAGGCCTGTCGCCTACAATAACAGAAGATTCACGTGAATTTATATCCGCCTCGAGAAGAGCTTCATAAAACTCGGCGGATTAGTCGGCAAAGTTCAGTGAATATATGCGTCCCATTCGACCGTTTCACTCTCTTTCTCTCTTCCGCACCGTTTCCACCTCCCTCTCTCGCCGTCCTCGCTCTCTTACTCGCTGCCTCTCCCCTCTTTCGCTCGTTCTGGGATTTAGACGAATTTCCGCATTGCATTCGTTATGGCGTTCGCGACACGGTTTTACGACTTCGAAGCCTCTCTTCTCCCGCCTGCGTCTCTCCCTCCCGTTTCTCAGCAGCACCCTAAAGCAGCCCTCATCCCGTTTGAGTTTCGCTCGTTTGATTTGAGTTCGGTTTATTTGCGCGCTTTACGATACAGCGTGAGATATCTCGCTCTTCTGTGCGCGTTGTGTGTGTGTGTGTGTGTGCGCGTGCGCGCGTGTGTGTGTTGAAATGTGTGTATCTTGCTTAACAACGTCCAGCGAGCTAACGTTGGACGCTCCACTAACAATGCTTCCGGTTTTATGAGCGCAACTGGCTTCGCCCGGACTCTCTCCGGGTCCCCGACACAACCACGAGAGATCCCTCTTTGCTGGACCGTTGAGGTTGCCGTGCGATTCAGGTGCACCGGTATCGGTCGGAACAGTCGGAGAACAATATTCGCCGGCAAACCGTTCGCTTTGAAATGCATATTCGAATTTCTAGCGCTAATGCGTTGAATACTTGCTCTCAATACGAAAAACACATTGTTAAAGTTTATTTCTATTAAAATTCGTCGTGTCGCACGACTCCTCGCGCATAGCGATCTCCTCGATGCAAAAATTTCAGTTTAATTTAACCTTCAAGTGGTTGCGCCGTTGATAAAAAAATACGAAAAGGAGTAAAAACAGTAATATTTTACCTTTTTTTCTAAGAATAAAGCAAAAAGATATTTAAGTAGAAAGTTTATAATAAATGCGCCGCTGTTCATGCTACATCTCGGGATGCGAAATCGCTTGAAGGTTATTAAATAAAAATATTATAAAAGGAGATTATTATCGAGAGACATTAAAGCCCGACAACTGTCTATCATTGGCACTTGCCCGGATGCTTCTTAAGCTCTTTAACTTCTTAACTTATAACTCTCGTTTTGACGAGAAATCAATGTGCCTCAATTCGCACGTCGAGAGAGACGTATTTAATTAACTAACGGCGATCGACAAGATTCTCGACAATTTCCGGTCAGCTTTGAGACATCGGCTTCGCCGTTATCCGCGCCACGGATGGCATGTCGCTGCACAAGGATTCCTTCTCGATTCATCTCTTCGCGTCTCTCTTCCGCGAAAAGCCCGTCTCTAACAAAATCCGGAGCAAAAGAGGCTTTCGGTCGTCCTCCGTAGGAGGCTCCGGTACGGCCCGGGAAGGTGTACCCGATCGATAGAACGCACCACGTTCCGTGAGATAACGAGGGAAGGCCACGGAACATCGATCAACCGGCCGGGGGCGGGGGCCCCCCTTTCGAGCGCGGTTCCATCGGCATCTTATCCTCTCGTCCCGCACGCCGACTCGAGTCCAATTGAGTTCATTCCTGCCGCACCGCCGACTGCATTCCGACGCGGAGGCGTACACGTAGTCGCTCGCGATACGCAATCGCCAAGCGAAACGGAGTGGCTGAAAGCAGACTCGCGTAAAAGGCTCTCGGCTGTCGAAATTGGGGCCGTAATTAAGATCGCGCGTGTAACGTCGGGGAAATTGGAGGGAGCGGCGACTCCGTAAATCAACTTGTAAGTCATGTATAATCTCGACACCGGTGTTCGCCCTCGTCGTAGCTTTCGCGCAGCTTATCAAAGAAGGATTTTCGCAATCGCTATTACTACATCCCGTCGTGAACGCTTACTTTTCTCGAGTCGCGTAGGAATCGAAGGGGAAGGGTTTGTCCGAACACACACGGCCGCTATTCGAAAAATGTATCGTGCGCGGCGGGCAATTTGACATCGCTCGTGTTTGCGTGATACAGTCTCGATAGATATGTCCCATTGTCAAAGCATCCGTCACGTATCTCCTGATGTTGAACGCTCCTTCCAAGCGGCTTTTGTGCGGGGGCAAAGAAAGGCAGGAATGATGTCTGGCTGTAAGTTCTATCGTGGAATAAAAAGGAAAGTATCCGGGAGTCTTTCTGCGCGGGGCCATTTTTCATGTTGTCAGGTGGACCAGTTGCGACATCCGCCTACTTTCTTATACATATTTTCCATTTCCCTCGGATTTGTCGTCTTGGTGAGAATCTTGCAATCTTTCACCTTATTTCGCCGTGGATGCGGCGCGATCGATAAAAATTCGCCGTGTCCGGAATAAATTCACCCGTGTCGCTCAAATTCCTCGAATTAATTCCTCTCGAGAGACATAATGCTGATCTGTGCTTTCCTTTAATAAATTATTTTCCCGTTAGAGATATTTTCTCTTGCCGATTTTATCTTGTTTTTTGCTCTTTATATTTTTCGAGAAAAATATGAATTAAAATCAAAATTCGTGTTTGCTTTCTCAACAATAACTGCGGTAATTAGAAAAGTTAATTGCAATTAATTATTTGGCGGTCTATGCGTCTGATATTTGCCTTGACGATGAAAAATCATGTTACTCCCGTGTCTCTTTGAGGGCCAATTATCAATCAAAACCTTTCGAATGTTTCTCTTTAATTGGCCAGTGCGAGACGATTCCCATCGCTGTATTATCGCAGATCTCAATCGAAGCGAGGAGAAAGAATTCCTCTCTATTATTGTATTTTTACGTTTCGTCGAAGCCTCTAATAAGCAAGCTATTCAACCACGATATATTCCTCCCGGCCTGTTTTTATCCTGCGATAGTTGTGTCCTTCGATGTCGCCATTGCTGTTGTCGTCATCGTCGTCGTCGTCGTCGCCCTCGTCGTCGTCGTCGTTGACTTGGCTTTTCTCGTCCTTCCTTCGCCACTCACCCTACTCTCACTCTCGACACGAACACCACGATCTCAAGAAAAATTCCACGAGACGTGCTACGCGTTCACGCACGACGCACCGTGTTCTCGGTTGCGCAACGCTGCCGGACACACTTTTCCACTCCACGAAAAATATCACTCCGCGCTAACCGACATCCAACGTCGGGCAATAATTTTTCTGTCTCTCTTTCTCCTACGTTAATGTTATATTCTAGCCCTCTCTCTTTCTCTCTCTTTCTCTCTGTTTCACCCTCTGTACACACCTCGACTCTTTCACCGTCACTGTTACTTTCTCTTTCTCTTTCTGTCTTTCTGTTTTCTTTTTCTCTATTTTTCTGTACCCCTGAATCTGCTCGTTTGTTATCGTCTTTATGCTTAAGTTATCTCTTGAATTACGTTGAGTACGTGTTATCCTTTACTTAACTCGGTCTCCGCCAGCCGCCGAACGTTATATTTTTTGATTACCAGTTTTCTTTTGCGCATGCTAGTGTATACTTAGTTTACTTAGGATTAACCGAGCGTACTAGTACTTAATATCCGCGCGGATCGCGACAG